CTGGGACAGACACAGTCCTCAGCCTGCGCCGCCTCAGGCCCTGGGACAGACACAGTCCTCAGCCCGCGCCGCCTCAGGCTCTGGGACAGAGTTCTCAGCTGCCACCCATGCACTCAGTGGTCCTGAGGACAGAGGACGTAAACAGTCAGGGGTAAGACAAGTCAAGTCAACATCCCACCTACCAGGCCGGCCCATGCCAATCTTCTCCAGGTCCTCATTCTTGACGTACTCAAAGTGGGACAGGCGGGTAACATTGAGGTCATCTCGGAGCCGCAGGAAGTACTGTTGCAGCTGCACCTCGGACAGCAGCTCCAGCAGCCAGCCTGTGCCCTCCTCCGGCTGCATGCTGCCGCCTCCCAGCCTCTGTGGGGAGGGAAGAGTGGCTCAGGGACAAGGGTTGTGGCGGGGGACAACAGGGGGCCTGCCCGAGTGACCTGGGCTCACCTTCATCCCACTACACTGCCGCCTGGAAGGGCTCACACCACCTTCTAACTCCCAACAGGAGCTACTGAGAACCGCCTGGACCCACGTGCCCATTCCTGCCAGCCACAGGGCACAGTGAGGGCGGCAGAGATACAGCCCCGCCCTGCAGCCAGGAGTCAGGGTCTTGCTCCCGAAATCTGTGATCCGTGGCTGATCCGTCTGTGCTCACGTTCCTCACCCGCTCTAAGTCTCCAGGGGTCAAAAGCCCTTGAAAACCTTGTAAAAACGAACAATGGTCTCTCTGGGAAGATCGAGGTGTTCTTACTCCTCACGTGTGATAAAAGTATCTGCAGGGTGCAGTGTGCCCTGAGACCCACCTATGGGCTCCTCAGATGTGACGGAGAAAACTCTCAGGGCCAGACGAGCTCTGAGCTAAGCTCCTCCCAAAGCCTGACCACCCAGCCTCTCCTAACAATCCAAAGACCACTCCATGGGCCACCACCCAAGTGCCCACAGGGCCACGGCAAGCAGAAGACGAGAGGGAGGGGTGGGGCCTGGGGCGGGCCTGCGGACACCCCTGTCAACAGGGAGCTCAGATCCCACCAATGGTTGTCACGAGAGACTGGGACCCAGTATTGTCAAAGCTTTCCATTTTTTCAAGAAATAAAAGAAATCTGAAGTTACATGTGAAATCTCGCCATTAAAGTTTGTTTGGAAAAGGTAATATCTGCACATGGTAAAATATTCAGAAGGTGCACAGAGCCACGAATCTCATTCCCCCCACAACTGCACAGCCACCAGCTCTCCAGGAGCTGCCAGTGACGTCTTCTGCGGACCCTTCAGACTCTGTCGCCCCTACACAGATATCCACGCATTAACCATACCATTCTGTTCCCTGATTTCACTTAATACTCGTCTTTCTCCTGACGTTTTAACAATGCTGAACAGTTCAAATCTGAAATGCACGCACACGCACACACAGCGTGCTGGCCAAAGCACACTGCAGGCCACAATCAGCCGATGGGCAGGTGAGTGACCTCTGACCTACACTCTCCTGGGTCCAGATAAAGAAGCTGGTGGAAACTTCAAAGCTAAGCAAGCGATCCACCGCACAGCAAACCCACCCCTGTCTGAGGAAGGTCTGTCACCGCACAGCACACCCACCCGTCTGAGGAAGGCTGTTCAGAGCTGAGGGCGTGGCCAGGCTAGCCCCTGACCCATGTTCAATCCCCAAAGAGGCAAACAGGCAAGAGAAAAAAGGCCAGCTGCCTGGCTGGGGACCAAGCCATCCCCCTCCCCAACTCAGCGGTGGCCTCCCCCCCAGCTACCATCACAGTGAGCGGCACTCGGAGACGCAGGCACACACAGCCCGGGCCCAGCGTGAGCCTCCTGCCCCCACAGTTCCCAGTGGCCCTGCCAACACAGTGCCAGTTCCGACTCTCAGGCAGCTCAGGGAAGTACAAAGAGTAACAAAGGGGAATGAGAAACGCTCAGTTCAAGTCCTGGCGCTTCCTTCACGGCGACTGGGCCAGGCAGCTGGGCCGGCCGGGTGGTTTCCGAACTTAAAGCCGTAACCCTTTACTGGAATGGTTCTCACGAGGGCTGCACAGACCCCCACCGGACATTTTTGATTGTCACGACATTTGGGGGTGGTTGGGGGACAGGAACGTGAGCTAGCCTGCAATGCATAGGACATTCTCGCACTGTCCCAAATCCCACACAACTCAATTCATGAAGGTGTTTATGATCATGCAAACCTAGAATCTGATCCCACTTCATATATAAACAAGAAAGTACTTTTATAGTTTTTTTTTTTTTTTTTTTTTTTTGAGACAGGACCTCACTCTGTCACTCAGGCTGGAGTACAATGATGCCATCTTGGCTCACTGCAAACTCTGCCTCCGGGGTTCAGGCAATTCTATCGCCTCAGAGCTGGGATTACAGGCACCTGCCACCTCACCCGGCTAATTTGTGTGTTTTTAGTAGAGACAGGGTTCCTTCATGTTGGCCAGGCTGGTCTCGAACTCCTGACTTCAAGTGATCCACCTGCCTTGGCCTCCCAAAGTGGTGGGATTACCGGTGTGAGCCACCGCTCCTGGCCTTACGGGTTTAATATAAAACAAATTTTCCTGGAATGAAACTACTGCGTAAACTTAAGGGAAAATGGACTTTGCTTTATTCGGAACATAGCGGAAGTCCACTATTTGCAAAAATGTCAGTGAAGGCAACCCTCTCTCATTATTTCAAAACTCGTCTCTCGGTCAGCACTTGCAGATGCTGCCTTCACGGCGTTTCTGCCTGAGGTCTCAGGAGCTGACTCCTCATTACATTGTCTAGATTACTAATGTATTAAGATACATAAAATGTTATAATTAGCTTCTTCTTATGTCTCTTTATACTACAGTTCCCACTGTATTGTTTCACTGTACACAGGTTAACAGGTTAACATAACAGGTTACATATTTCTATTAATTTTGTTTAAGACGAGTAACAATAAAAGTAACATCTAGGCTGAGCGCGGTGGCTCACACTTGTAATCCCCACTTAGAGAGGCTGAGGCGGGCGGATCACCCGAGTTCAAAACCAGCCTGACCAACATGGAGAAACCCGGTTTCCACTAAAAACACAAAACTAGCCAGGTGTGGTGGCGCGTGCCTGTAATCCCAGCTACTCGGGAGGTCGAGGCAGGAGAATCACTTGAACCTGGGAGGCAGGGGCTGTGGTGAGCCAAGATTGTGCCATTGCACTCCAGCCTGGACAACAAGAGCAAAACTCCATCTCAAACTAAACTAAACTAAATTAATATCTAACACTTCAACCGCACTTACTATATACGAGGAACAGTTCTAAGTATTAAGCTGTATTAATTAATTTATCCTCAACAAAATAATCTGTTTACAAAAAAGGGACGTGGGGTTTAAGAGGACCAGGTGCCGGTGCTTTCCAGAAGCCAGTCCAGAGGTGCACTGGGAGGCACTGGCCTAGGCAGCATCTCCCCTCCACCCGGCCACGGCCCAGCCACTGCTGCCCTGTCCCTGGAGCAAAGTGACCCCAATCCCCTTCAGGGCTCAGCCTCAGGATGGGGGATCCCAGTCTCCCGCAGGGCAGGCAGTCTCCAGGCCCCCTCTTCTTCCTCCCACCACCAACTCCCAAGGATCCAGGCCCCTCCTCCAGGCTCCTGAAAACAGCTCAAAGCCATGCCCTGGGTGGTCAGGGCTGGAGGAGACCCAGAGGCCCCTCCCCTGAAGCTCTTCAGAAAGCACAGCCCGGCCTGTTCCCTCTCCCTGAAACACCAGCTGACACACCTCTGCTCAGCTGTGCACTCCCCTCCGTGCTCCCTGACCAGGAACAGCGCTGCTCTGCACCGGGGATGCGTGTGGGAGGATGGGAAGGAACTCCGGGATCCCAGTGAGGGAAGCAGTCAGGGTCTCAGTCCAGGCTGACTCTGCAGGGGTCCGCCTCCCTCTAAGTCCCCCTCCAGCCCACGGTTCCTCGCACAGCACAGGGCATGGCTGCGGCTCGTCTGGAGTTCAAACACTCTCCAATTCTGCACAGCCTGGCCCCCAGCACCTCGCGGAGTCTGCACACCGGTGTCCGTCATTACTCCGTGGCTGGCGTGCAAACACACAGGCCAACAGGAATGAACGCAGCGGCCACAGGGGAGGCCACCTGGCCCGGACCCCCTGTCGAGCCCTCACTGGCGGGGTCCCTCAGCCGCTCCCAGTCCCGCTGTCTGCCTCTCAGTCAATTGCTGGTGCTGAGGAGCCCCAACAGTCCCCAGCAGTCCAACCCCTGTACCCCACTCACTGTGTACAGCCGTCGCCGCAGTCTGGCCAGGAGAGGGAAGGAGAGCTCCAGGCCAGGGAACCGACGTGCCGCCGGCATCGCCACGGAGCAGCACCCCCTGAACAGTCGCTGGGGATCCGGCTCAGGAAGCGGGTGAGCAGGGGCCTCGGCTATGAGCTTCGCACTCCGCCCAGGAGCCCCCCAAATCCCACACGGGGGTGGGAAATGCGGAAGAACGGGCTGGGCCCCTGTGCTCTGCTGCAAGCCCGGCTGGGTTTCCACAGCTGGCCAGCCTGGCAGGGAGCGGAGGAGCCTTCCTCACGCCGGCTGCAGCCGGGATCCTCTGTCCTGTTTCTGTCTTCTCTCCAGGGCAGTGGTAACAGTCCAGCCCTACTCCCCGGCTTCCCCACCCGACTGCCTGCCTGCCCTCCCTCCTGTCTCCCTCCCTCCCTCCCTCCCTCCCCCCCCAGCTGAGCAGCTCTGACACTGGCTGAAAAAGGACCTTTCTGAATCACTGCCAAGAGGGCAGCAGGAATGGGGGGGACTCTTCCTCCCAGCCACCCGCGCTGGCCCCCCTGCCTCCCCATACACAAGGCTCCTGTCTCTGGCTTCTACCCCAGCCCTCACAGTCGCAGACAACTCCTGGGACTTTGGGGGGGTTGGGGCTATGTGACTCAAACAGCATGTACAAAGCAGGGTTGTAGACCCCCACACGGGCTTGTGTGGGGACGTGGGGACTAGCACAGCCTGAGTGGGAGGCTTGGGCCCCAGAGGCTCTGCTGGGCCCTGCAGATGACTCTTCAGAGACCCTCCCCCACTCCCCAGTCCCAGCCTTGGCTGGGCGTCTCCTGGCTCAGACCCTAATGTGGCCCTGTTACCCTGGTGCCCGACGGAAATAGGAGGCCGGCAGCCTGCCAGAGTGGGGCAGCCCGGCCAAGAGCAAGGGTAGGGTGGGGTGAGGATCCCCACCCCCTCCCCCAGGGTTGCCTTGTCTGCTGCCCAAACACCCAGGGTGCCTCCTACCCAGACCAGGTGGCCAAGCTCCCGAACCCCCTCAAAACAAACAAACATGCCCTGAGACTCCTGATGGGATGCCCCCACCCCAAAGCTGTAGGATGTCTCCTGTATAACATTCCGGACACAGACCACAGCCTCAGAGTAAGGGGCCTAGAGACGCTCCATCAAGCCCCCGTGGGGCCCCCATGTTTCCAGAACTGACAAATGCTCTCCCTCGCCCTCCTCGAAGGGTGCCAGCTGCTCTTACACCCCCCTCGCCACGGCCCCCAGACACACCTGACAGCTGCAGGAAGCCCTCTCCAGCTCCCCAGGAACCCCCTCCCTGCTGAGCCATGCCTAGGGAGCCCTGTTTCTTGCACACTGCTCTCTTGTCCCTGTCCAGCTGGCCACCAGCTCAAGGAGCCCCAGCTGGCTGGAGGGGTGGGCAGCTGAGGAACAGGGCTTTGGGGATCAGCATCCCAGGCTCCCTTCCCAGGGCCTCTCCCAGCGCTTGGCCTCCCTAATGATGCCGAAAGGGACAGCCATTTCCTGGTCTAACTCCAGGAGGCGGGGAGGAGGACACCCCCAGCTTCAGTCCCTCTTCCTCATCCCCCTGCCATCTACCCCACAAAGCTTGTGGAGATGGCAGGTGTGCACTGAGTGGGGGCTGAGGTCAGATGGACAAGGTCAGGCCTATGATACACTGGAGCTGACTTTTTCCCAAACCTTGGCTGACTATGCCCTTGCATCAGAGAAGCCTACAGCCTACCCTGGCACCAAACACACCTGGAAGGAGACCCAGGGACTGGGGACCAGGGACTGGGGAAGAATTTAAGCAGGGTTATTCCCTCTACTTCAAAATGAGTCTGCTGGATCAGAATGGCTAGATTAAACACTCTAGCTGTCCCCAGAAATATGTGTCTCAAAGTCACCACAACGCCATGCCTGACCCTCACTTCCTTGGATGCCCCGTAAGAACAAGACCCATAACTGGACCAGTAATCCAGATGCGGGAAGCAGCAAAGTATGTGGGGTCATACTTTGACCGTCCCCCCTCCCCCTTTTTGAGAGTCTTGCTCTGTCGCCCAGGCTGGAGTGCAGTGGCGCCATCCTGGGTTCAAGTGATTGACCTGCCTCAGCCTCCCCAGTAGCTGGGATTACAGGCACCTGCCACCACGTCCAGTTAATTTTTTTTTTTTCGCCTTGTTGGCCAGGCTGGTCTCGAACTCCTGACCTCAGCGTCCTGGCCTCAGGTGATCTGCCCGCCTCGGCCTCGCAAAGTGCTGAGATGACAGGCCTGAGCCACCGCGCCCGGCCTGGCCCCCTTTCTCCTCGCCCAGGAAAATGCCCGACCTGAAGCCCCAACGCTCCTGCCGAGTCCCCCTTTCTCCTGCCAGCTGCTGCCCTCCGCCGGCCGCGGGAGGAAGTGCCTTCTCTCCAAGGGGAAGGGAAGCTGCCTCGTCCATCAATACAGTGACCGTGTTTTCGGAAGCAAACAAGCACATCTGGCTTGATATTCATATTCAAAAGGCTGGTAAATGGGAATGTCCAGGACACACAGACTCCGTTCTCCTAAAGGACGGAACCCCAATCCTAGCAGTGCTTCCTGGACTCCTTTGGGGCATAGAAGCAAGCCCAACGGGCAGCTTTTTGGGGTCCCAGGGGACCCATGCACACGGAGACAGATGCCAGCATCACTGTCGCCCCCGCCACACCCGCACAAACACTCCGCCCTGTGTGCCCTGGCCCGGGAGCGGACACCCCCACTCCTGAGGCTGCCGCAGAGGGCAGGGCTGGGCCCGGCTCACAGCAGACCGAGGGGTCTGCGCCCAGGTATCCGGCTGCCCTCTGGCCTTCCCATTACCTGCGGTCCCTCCTCGCCCCCAGCCAGGCGCTGGTACGCAGCTCTCTCCCCCATGGAGCCCAAACCCCGGTGGCTGCGGTCAGGGAGAGCAGCGGTGCCCGCAGCCCCCGCCCCG